ATATATTATATATAGACTGTATCGTAAGTAGTACGTACCAGTTTGCTCAGCGTGTGCCTTTTGTAGGAGCGTTGACACCGCGACGATTATCGATAGAAGCCTCATTGAGACTGTCCACGTCGTTCCAATAGGCATCCTAATCTAGCGTCACAGCTTCACAACGTTGTACCGCGATCGTGCTAGCGCTTCGCGGGTAACGCCGTCACCGTTCCGTCACTCTTAATCCTTCTAGTTGAGGATACTGTGTTATGGTTGATGTTGCTGCTGTAATAACAGTAACAGTAGAAGTGGTCGTAATAGAAACAAGGCGTGCACCACTTGATGAGACTACCACACGATTTCTGTCTTCCTGTTGCCAGCGCTTTCTTGTCCTATCGACTGACGGTAGTCGCTGACCCTCAACGCCTGCCTGTCATCCAAAGTGGCTAACGAAAGGACACTCATCAACGATCCACTACACCCAGGCACATCGTACCCGTACGAATTGGGCTACAACGACAGAAGTACAATCCACTACTAGTAATAATACTGGTGATGGGAAACGTACTTGTTGAGATAGGAGCTAGAGCATAGAACTGAAGTTATTTTATTGGAGAAGATACTGTAGCAGGAGGGCCCAAAAACGATTAGGTGATACCGCTGCCGTCACAAAACAACTGCGCAAACGCTTGTCTTACTTGTTTCAAGATAAAAACAACAGACAATTGCCATTCGACGCTGACGTTGTCGACAAATCCGACACCCGCCTTTAAAAGCGGACGCCACACGCTCACTACGTTACGATGTTACAAGAGAGAACAAAAATCTAATTAGTGGTAGTTCAACGACGGCACTTGTTACCGTTGTAAAAGTCTATTTTCGATTCGTGAAGTTCGCCGAATCGCAGCCGACGTTACCGCTCCAGGCTAACGCGATAGTTTCCTCTCGCCGGTCTCGAGTAATGTAAACGTGTACGCGTTATCTAGCTTGGCTTTGCTACATTTTTTTTTTCTTTTAATATTCAGCAGCACCCACATCCATGTTCGATTCTACCACTCTCATTATCCGTCATCAACACCAAATGTCGCCCTGAATTCCGGCACAACCTGACATCGCTACCATAGCACTCTCTGATCGGCTGATCTATTTCTCTATTGACCCACGCAATCACGCGAATGATGTCGTCAATGTATTGCTAAACCACTGATCTCCGCTGGCCGACGAGCAAGAGGCAATCGATCCTCACCCGATCTTTGCGCACGATGGCGTACGACCTAATAGACTGGCATACGGTGATAGCAACCGCTCCGTCACCGTGGTCGTTCTTCAAGGAGCTTACGAGAAGCTTTAGCTAGTCTTCTCCGACCTGCATCGCTTCTGATGATCTCACCGAATCGATTTCGATGGTTCGGGCCTGTTCGTGCTTATGTTCCTTCCTATGGTTGTCAGAGCAGTAATGGTAATTCATTGCTTGCCGCTGTTACACTGTGGCTATTTTAGTGGTAGTAGTAGTACTATTTGTGGTTTTCGACGTTTCGTCTGATAAAAGTCAACTACTGAGGCGGTATTTACGGCTCATCTGGAGATAATTTCCAGTGCTCATACTACGACTGGACAACCAACGGCACAGGCAAACCGTGCTAGCAGCTTATCGTTGTATGCTCGCTGTTATTACTGCTGTCGTCTTCCTCCGTCTTCAAGCCACCACCAGCTTAAAAGTCACCAAAACCGCAGCTGGCGCCAGCATTGGGAGCATTGTCGGCTTTCCACTCGTCTTCGTCAGCCGTCGCTAAAGTATACAAAAAGCTCTCAAATATTCTACCGAGCGAGCCCACACTCAACGAAACCGTGCTGGATACGGGGCCGCACATCCACGGCGAGCCACACGTATTCGCGCACTGTTCTACTATTTAGACAGAGGAAAATAGAGGGAAAGACAGTGAAGGAGAAGTAAAGGAAGAAAACAGAGCTAGCAAAAGGTTGCGTGTAGGCCTGAGAGAGATAGGGAAAATTATATATAGCAGAGATCTCTCTCTACTGCCACTGACGCCGCCTCAAGTGGCTCCGCGCACCCGATCGGCGCGGGTCAGAGTCATGTGAGCTTTGTTGGAGCTAATGCCGCTACGGATGCCGCTGCTGTGGCTGATAGTGCCAGCGCAGTGGCACCATGGACAAGATGAAGCAACAATGCACTGTTCGACACACGGCTAATTGTTAGCTCGCTACTACGGTAGTTAGTTAGTATCCATAGAAGTCTAATGGCACTAGTACACAACAGAAACAGAACAAAAGAGAGTGCAGCGCTGCGGGTTTAACGCCATAGGGTCTGCATTAGTGACACGATTCTAGTAATACGCTTTTTAGCTATCACTGTATGGCAACGATGAGCTTAGCCAAACCCGGCTCCTTCGTGGAGTTTGTCACCGCTATCAGCACAGCTGCCGATGTGATCTTTTGCTTGTCGTAAGCGCCGTCCAAACCTGCCGCTGCCTGGCCTTCGCGGGTGAAAGAGCCCAGCTAAGTACCTGCGCAGACGAAGCACGTGGAGTAAGTCGCGGGAGGCCCCGGAGGTCTGCACTCTCCGCACACTTGGATGAAACTGGGAGACTGACTGGTAGACGATCGTGGGAGTGCCGGAGAACAGGCCAAAATACTAGCGCCAAGCCCTCGGAGGATGCGGACTAAGCGGCCCCTGGTGGCTGTTGGGACAAACTCGCTGAACGGCCAGGTCCGAGGAGTCCTATTCAATTGTCGTCAATGAACTATAATGCTTATTATTACCCCCTGAATGCTGGCTTCCTGAATGACGAAGTTGTCGGAGCCCGCGACAATTGTTTTCTTCTGCTAGCTTCTTATTTTTGTCTATTTATATATATACTGTAAAGTAGCATTGGAGACAAAGAGTAAAGTCAAGAAAAAAGGCTAAGTACAGGCCAATTTTACAGTTAGACATGTTTGACAAGCTTGCGATACGACTAGAAGCTCAATTTTCTTTAGCGTGTGTGCATGTACGCAGGGGCTGTATGTACTCGGAAAATGTTCATGCTCTGATAAAATACGATTTAAAGAAAAATCACTTCTTTAGCACAGCTCCAAAATTGTGCTAGTTTCAAAAATTTCAATTCACTTCTTTCGGATTTCAGGATAGACCGTCATTCCGTAACGATCAATCTATTTGTAGTAGAATCGTAATCATGATGCCCGAAGTCGGAGCTCCGGCTTGAAGGGTCACGACACTTCGCTGCTACGAATCCTAAAAATTTATTGAATTTGATCAAAGTGAAAAACCACTTTGTTCCGTTTTTGAGATTGAATACATCTGGCTCCCCTTACTAAACCAGCAAACAAATAACAAATAACCTTAGCGTACTGTATTATCAAAGACGGAAATAATGTTTGAGAAAAATATTATTAGAAAAGTTACGCATTGTCTTGGCTAGAACGCTGCTACCTTATCACCCTAATCCATTAGCGGAAGCCGAACATTATTTTATCTGAGTAGCGGTGATCATCCCGTCTCGCTTTGTCTTTCAAATATGACCGTTTGTATCCGTTTGGGAATAGGTTCATATCGCTTTTAAAATTTACTGTGCAGTATTTCACGACCAGTTGCCTTCTATATAAAACATACTGAGAAAATACCTCGTGCTTTACGACAGCCCTCGCAGTATTACTCAATGCCAGACGTACTGAGTCTTCTAACGAGTGATAGTTTGGACCATATTTTTGCAGCAGTTAAAAAATACAAGGTATTTTTTTTTGCTTAATTAATATTTTATTTGCTTTATTAGTTCAACTATGACTGCGTTTCCTAAAGAGAAGGTTTCCACTTAACATAAGTCGCGATCGCGAATCACAGGGAACCGATTTTCAGCCGCGTTTCTTAGCTAATGGTAGTCCTTAATTTATTCCTTTGCGGCCGGCGCGGATGGCTTCAAAATAGCACCAGTACCTTCTGGCTCGGTGTCAGCTATATTAGAAACCGTGTCCCCGGCCTTAATATTTTGGGCATCGGCCGGATTAGTCGAGATAAAAGCGAAGGATGGCTGGAAACATACGTTCAGTAATGATAATTTTTAATACATTTAACAACAATAATATAAATAAATTTGTCGATGAAATTTCTAGCAGTATAACACTAACCCGCGTGTTTGTTTTGGAGTGCGGATTGGAAGCAACAGTAACGAAAATCATAATAAATGGTTTGAGCTTGACCAATAGACAACGGTAACGAAGGCCAATACTGCGCGGACATCAGAATTGTTTACGGGGGTTGTAACCGTCCCATGCGCACGAATTAAACTCCGGCGTTACAGGCGTATTCGAGCAGAATATAAACGCATCCAGGTAGCTCTATACATCCTATAATATTTACGTAATTGCGGAGCGTAGATCTGGTTGCTCGTTGAATCAAGATTAATGTGTTGGCTTTCGTTCTACAAAATCGTTCACGCTAAACCAGATCTGAGCACTGGATTGTTATTGTCGAGCGCATAATTTCAATTGTCAAGAGGCGCAATGAACAATCGAGTAATAGTGTTCATATTGTACGAGTGAATATCGTATTTTCGAACTCGACACGGTTCGTCAGGGCTGCACGAAGGATTTCTCTGACGAAAACCATCCCGATTGCTCTAAGGGTACATAGTTCCATTTTGGCCAAGAGTACGAACTTATCTCCTCAAGCAAATAACTGAGCGTCAACCTATGAAAAACATCGCTCCTATTTTTAAAAGTACTTTTAAGTTTAACGGCAGATGACTGGAATCGGCCCGTTGGACGAGCTGCGTTCGACGGCGCCGCGGTGTAATCGCTCCAAGTACCAAGTTTCAGCCGAAATACGTCCATGAGGTAACGGCACCGCGTACATCGGTTGCACGTATCACATGAGCAGCCTTTTCATATGTTAAAATTTTCTTTAATATGTATCTCTTTAGGCACCGTTTCGACACCAAGCTACTCTGATACGCAATGTATTGCAAAATGTTGTTCGCTTTTAACACAGTTTTAACATGGTTACAGCAACCAGTCCGGTAGCTGGATCCAGCGTCGGGGAGTAGCTATAGCGTTCAACTAACAAAAGTTAGTTAATCTCTGATCTGACCTAGTCAGGCCGCATTTGTTGTCATATTCCAAAAAGCGGGCCGGTCTGAGACAACTCAGCCATGTTGACAGTTAGTGGTTTGACTAATGGTTCGTATCCACGAGGAGCAGGTTGAAGCAACATTGGATTACTTAGGTTCTCTCTATGAAAGCAAGCTTATCGGAGAAATGCTGATAAGCTGTACTGTACAAGCTTACATGTATGAAGAAATACTTACAGAGATCAGTGAATCCTTACGCCACACGGACCACTATAAGAAAGATTATTTTCGTCAATTGCTAATATAATATCGAAGAGCGATCAGGAGCAAGTTTAACGCTATGTTAAGCTGAACAAATCCGTGACTAACGAAAAATAATTAGATACGTAAAAGTATTACTTTTGTTGCGCTCTCGCAAATCAGTCCTTGATGTTCACAGAACTGTCCGTTGGCAACTTATCATTTCATACTACTTACGTCATTTTCGTTAGGTAAAGGACTCAAACTTTCGGCCCTACTGTCATCGTCGACATTTACGTCGCCTGTTGAATCCGAAACGGGTGGCGCTGTTGCAGCTAGTACCTCAGTATTTTTGGGCACTGTTAACTGCTCTTTCAAAGCGGTAAGAGTTGTTCTGGCATCATCTGAAAATCAACAGATACCAAGAATTATTTTATTGCTTATTAAATACCTGCCGGATCCAAAGCAGCTTGGCGAGCTAACTTCCAAATATTGCTACAATCTTATTAGAAAACACCTACAAACTTATATCCGACCAATATTTTATATCCGCTCTAGTGCGACAAAGCATCTGTGAAACGAAGCTAATTTTCGAAATTCGCGATTCAACTCACTACAGGGCTTTTGCATGTGCCAAGCTTTATACATGAAGTTTTTTTATGGCTTATATAACACAATCCATGTTTATCTCGTTAAATGAATCAATTAGCTGACCTCGTACACTCATTGAGAATAGACATTGTGAGCCACAATTCAAGAGAAATTTCTTTCTTTTTTCACAATAAGCAATAATCCTACGAAGCGTACGTACCTCGAATACGAACCCACTTCGCCATCTGTATATGTTAAAAAATAATTTATAAATAATAAAGCGTACCGGTTGTGAAGATTGACACTAGGCAACGATCGTTCAATAAGACGAAGAAAGATCAGTTATATTCGACGGAAAACTGATATATACGTTTCCTTGAACCTTTCGTCACACCTGATAAGCGAGGAAAGAGGTTCTGATCAAAGACTCTTGTGCCACGTTACGGCAGTCATCTTTCGTTATGTACACCAACGTTCCAGGCGATCGGCTTCGGTTACTTTAAACTATCTTGAGCCAACTGAAGGCTAAAAGTCGATTTCGAACCGAAATAAATTAATTTAAGGGTTAAAAAAGTGCCAAGTTGCCGAAGTGCCAAGAGGATTACGAGAACGAGCAGCTGAGTCCTTTGTGGAGTTAAGCAGTACCCAGCTCGGCACTAACGAATAAATCTTTTGGGAGATTCGGGAAAAAAAAGTTTGTTAGACAGCTGCGGTGAGGAACGAATGAGCCCGAGGAAATCTTACGATTTTTGTTTGTTTCGATCCTTTTGCAAAGCCTATTCGTTAAGGCCTGTTCAATCGACAATCGGAAAATTTGTTATCGCTAAGTTTGCCTTTTAGCGTAGTTTTTCGATGCCCCACATTCGCTTCCAGTTATATGAAGCATCCTTCTGTTTCGTTGATTTGCATTGGGGTGTTCACAAAATGCGCGACCAAAAGCAGACTTGTGCTGATTCACCCTGACCGATTTAGCATCTGACGTAACGGTACAAAGAAACAAATCTATGCTGTTAAAGATTAGCACATGAGCTATTAATGGAACCATATTGCGAGTTACCGACTTAGTGAGCAATACATACTACTCAGATATAGTTGGTGCAAAAGTAACTTGTACTAACCTTGTGTTTCGATAAGTCGCAAATAAGCTCCTTTCATAAATTCAGTAAGCGGTGTGATAATGTCTGTTGAATTGCTTCCATTCCAGAGAGCTAGACAGCTGTCACCGACGCAGTCTGGATCCCCTTCATCGGGTGTCAAATTTTGGATAGTTTTTGAGAATTCGATCAATTTCGTGTTTAGGTCGTTGAGGTCGGCCTAAAATTTATTTGTTGAAATTTATTATATACTTTCATTAGGTCTATTTATTTATGCATGGTGATACGAATATCGGCCATGCTTCAGATATAGATTGAAAAGTGACGCTTATAAGTCATCAGCTAAGTTAGGAAAAACGCAGTACAAAGAAGATGCATTTATAATTTAGTGCGTGCAATAATAGACAATACCTTGTCATCAAGCAGTTTGTTAACCTCAACGGTGAGGTCGGCGAGTTTAACCATCTGGTCATCGCTGACCTTCTTTCCTTTCGTTATAAGTATCGCAACTGTAATCAACAATAGAATGAAAATATTGGACAGAAGCCAAAGGATCTATTATATCATTATACATTCTAGTCTCTACATAAATTGTATCTCGTTAGAAAAACATTAGAAGCCAATCATTGACAAACTCCGAAAACGTTAGTTGACTCTAAGGATTTAAGCTATGCCCCGATCTGGATGGCTTATTGTTGTGCTATCGTTCAGTCAGTACGTGCGTGCGCTGCTATGCCATTCGATACATACATATGTATATATATGGGGCTGCTCTGTTGTAAAGAGCATAGGCTCACTCGCTGTTCTTCGCACCAAAAAAAGGCAATTCTCCCTAAAATAACAACACTCGTCATAGCAAAGAGCAGTGCATCGTCTTTGATTCAAACAAATATAGACTATTACGTAATAAATTCATGCGAGACGAACGAAATTTCCCTATTTTGATGCAAAATTGCCAATTTTCAAGCGGGCTTAGAGCGGAACATCCTCAGTGGGACATGGATTCTTAAAATTAAATTAAGCAAAGGTGGCCACAAGCTCACTTTGATAAAGCTGGGCTTCTTTGCGGATATTAATGGCCATCTTAGAAAGAGGAATATTAACTACAAATCAACTCGACCAGATACGCTTCAACGGTTAATTTTTCGAGACCTTTTGCTTGTTATTACACATTTTTGACATTTTGTTCCCCTGCATTATCGGATCTGCTATTAGACCGAAATTTTAAGCCGCAGAAATTTTCTCTATGTAGCGTATTTAAGCAACGATTTCACTATCTTATCGCTTAACTCACGGTTACTATCAAAAATTCAGGAAAGAACATTTTGTAAATGACTAGTGAGTGATTTATGTCCTGGATTGAATATCTAATTGAGGTACTAAATGAGTATGACAGCCAAAAACCGCACTTGCAAGAAAATATACAGATACAGATTTGAAACAATTCGTAAGAAGAAGTCTGGATTTCAATTTCCCACCCTATATATATTGTAAGCTTTTGTAATTTGTGTCATTAAACTAAACATGAAATATATCTTTTCGAGCCGAATTCTACACAAACTCTGTGTAAGCCTAGGCATTCATTACTACCCAGAAGGAATTGTCAACCAGGCGCTTCTTTTCGAAGTAGTGTAACGGAAGGGGGGAGAAAGGGCGAGAGAGAGAGAGAAGCCGCCAAATTGACTGCGGCAAACAGAACACAAAAGGCAATAGAAATCAAAACAAATACCATTTTCTAGTCGCTCGTAAAAGTTTTCTTTTCGTATGCGGTGCTGCGGTTGCTACTGTGGACCGAGAATCGGAGTGAGTGTCAGGCGCATCTGTTCGGCCGGCGTCGGAAGGGATCGTGAAAAATAGATCCGTCCTGTCTTTTAGACCACATCAGCCACCCGTTTTTCTCAGAGCCTTGTTCGATTCCAAGTGTTTTCTTCCGCTTATTCATTGCGAATCGACTCGGATTCGTTATTTAGTTGCAGACGAAAAAGCTCCGACATTCGTACATACTGGAGATCAGCTGCCATATTCTGACGGCTTATGAGCAGAGCCAATAGTTTCTTAGCCAAACACATAGTCTACAAGATCGAAGAGCGAACTTTTCAGACATTAAGGACCGTATAAACGTTTAGCGAGCTGGCTTTTACATTTAGAACGAAGTAAAACATGAAATACGTAATTTGGTGAGAACTTTTTTGTGAAACCTAGTTTCTCCTGAATTAACTGTGGCTTATTAATATACTATTATATGAACAGTGTTCTATTGAATACATAGTGTGGCGCTTTTTGCTAGACGAGAAATAGTGAGTTACGGTTACATAAATAGTCACACCCGGCGCGCAATTAAAAAAACAATAGGTTGCCTGAATAAGATGTTTAATATTGGAATCATCATTGCAACTTTTAAGCTATTCTACTTGCGCATTATGATTTTTCGCGCTCGTTCTATTCAAAAATTGGCATCCGTTGTTCTCTAGACTTTATAAATTGCCACAGTAACAACGAAAAAGGAAATTATTATACAAGTAAATGTAATAATTTTTTTCTGCTTAGAATAATTTTTCAAATCAGATGTCTACATATTTTGCACCAATGCAAACTCCACTTGTTTTGGGTAGCTTTTTTTTGAAGGACATTTCTATGCGACGAAAATTTAAGAGTCAAAGACTGCATATTCAATATCGTGACCTTCTGGAACGCGTCTATCTGGCAAATATGCCAGATAGACGCGTTCAGGGAAACAAATTCCAACGTTTTTCATATGACCAGTGAATCGCGCAGTTAGTGGCTTTAATAAGCGGAAAACAGTGTCCTTAAACCCCTACTGCGCGAAAATTATTTTTTAATTTTATTTTACCTATACCTTAATAAAAAAAACATCGTAATGACCTTTAGCGATGAGTTTAGCAATTTTAGCTGAGAGACCTATACTCTTCTCAGCTTTGAGTTTGGCTTTGAGGGGTGGGAGCAGCTTGACAAGGGTCGCAGGCGGAAGTTTGGCAAGCAGTTTCACGAGCTCCGTCGTATAGTCTTCCGGTTTGGAGTCTTCATATATTTCCCTACGACAATGAACGATTCAATGACATATGTATATTTAGACATGGTACTTTAATTGAATATTAACTATTTCTCACTGAGTACTTAAAAAATATAACGATAATAATCATGGCATGCTGATCACTACACGGATACCACAAGACAAGTGCCCAATGCACACAAATATAGATCTCATGCAGATCAGAGCAAACGTTGCAAGGCCCTCCAAACCGTCCTGGTAACTAATATCTGTAATTAATAATAGCGGGGACGACATTTAATCGAGCCACCTAAGCTGGAACATCGATAGAACGCTTTACATCGTTCCTTTAACAGTATTTTGTGTGCTCTACGATAACAACAATCCATAATTAAATTCTACATATGAGACTTAATGTTAACGAATACAAATGGATTCAAAAAGACAGATGTTCAGATGAATACAAGAAAAGGTAATATTCTCAATGCGTACTTTAGATCGACATGAAGAAGCTCGGATCCTTATAAGGGAAGTGGTATCTCATGCGTTACAAATTTGATGACAACAGAGTTCCGCATATGTATTGTTGCGTATTTGATAGAAGTTTACCGTTTTTTAGCGGAGCATAGTCTATTACTACTGAGTTTTGACAATGTTGTATTTAACTACACTCTTTTCATACGATAAATGATCAGTTCGTGGTCTACGCTTAAACGCCACCCAGATATACGATGCTATGTCTGTAGAATAGATTCTTAACAAATATACGTGCACCTGAGAAACCATTACCGTTCGTTATTAGTTTTTACGTAGTGTCCTAATGATGCCGCCTTCCAGACAATACTAGCTTACTATTTTGCCAACGGCAGCAGTTAAATATGACTTAGACGTGGGCAAGCACAGCAACAGCCGGCAGAAGATTACTACCAGCCGTCTGGCTTTTACTTAGCGATATTGGTTGCCATACTACCTCATCGCCCGTCCATGTTTCGGCTAAGTGACCAACCACTGAGCCTGCAAAACGGCGGACGACGTGCCCTGCCTACGGTTCGTTCTGAACGAAACGGAGCAGCTTCTTCGAAGGCTTGCCTCACTCGACGTGAAATTCGCACGAAGTCAAGCCACGAGGCCTCGAGCCTGCGGATTTCAGCTCTTCCACGGCCTCTGCCAAACCGAGGTCGATTACTTGTCGGTTTGCCGGTTACTTGTTGTTTGGTTGAAGCCCCTACCGACGAAGGAAAAAGCTGGAAAGCAAAAGCCGACCAGCTAGCTACCCAGCAAGAAAAAAACGAGGAATAATTCTTCCTGTCTGCGAATATCTCCAGTTATATTTTTGTTTAAGTCAGAAATGGTCGGTTTCCTTGCCGACGTCTAGAAAGTAATCGACTAACAACCCTAGAGCAGAGCAAAGGCACTCACGTACGTCTTTTTCTTCCTTCGCCTGCTCCCCCTTTCGGTCTTGTTTCCTTCTCGGTGTGTCTTTTAGGCAGAGCTCTTTCCAAGTAGGGTAGGAATCCACAGCTGCAGCGGTCTGGCTCTTTACTGCTCTCTACCCCGCGCGCTTCACGATTGCTCACCGGTGCGGAACAGGCGCGGAAGCCCGCGAAGTCTCGCACCGCTTCGGTCCTCGGCTAGTTGATAGGGTTGGCCAGCGGTCGTCCGTCTCCAGAAAAACCGCAGAGCATCGGCTACGGCGAACCCCACTGGCTCTTCGGTCACCGTCTGCTTGCTGCGATGCTCATGCTCTGCTTGCCCAGGTTGTTGGCCATTTTAACAGTAGTGCCCATCCGTCGTCGCTAGTGCTCCAGCCAGCGAGTCAAGGAAACCCAATTCCGCTTAGCCGGGTTAGCCCTACAGGGGCATTCGAAGCACGTACAGTAAACTCTCTACGTAGGTTAGCGTCTGCCTGCTGTTTCCTAGGAGAGACTCCGCGACCGAAGTCGAATTCCACCGGGTGCGTCTAGGCTTTGCTTCGCCGTGGAACTTCTCGTTGGGTCTGCTGAAAAGCAGACAGTCCGCTAGGAGCTGCTAGTTACACAGGCAAAGCCAAATGGCTTACTCACCAACTCTCCTTGGAATGCTTTAGAAAACGTCACACTGGTAGAAAGAGCGAGAAAGAGATAATGCCGACAACTAGGACAGGCAAGGAATAGGGAAGCTGCTACATCGGCGCAGAAAACAGTCACAATCACAAAACGACAGGTTTTCTCATACACCGGCACCGTGTGAAAATCGAGGGATAATAAGAATAGTGTGAAAAATAGTTTGTCAATAATAACACATGGGTTAATGAAGCCATGAGCACATAGAGAATTGAAAATAGTGTGGAATGATGAAGGGTTTAGTGTCCTGAAAGACGTACACAAATGGGCATTCTTTGTTATGCCCGACGGAGTCAAAACGGATTTATACCTGGGTGTCATGTCATCGTAGCCAAAGGTCTGTTATGAGGTAAAACCTATAAGACTTGACATTTTTTTTGTAAACCATAGTCAGTTACGCCTTCACATATTTCATTATTAATATATAATAGAAAAGTTTTATATTTTAACTAGGTTACTGTACGGGCCGTCAGTTTAATCTAAATTACAATATTATTCTATAACTGACCAAGAGAGATCTAACCGGCCCTTTAAGTCTCAGTGCTATAAAAACTCTTGCCTGATTAGAACGGAGGAGTACAGCTAGAAAGGTAGGGCTGTAACGACTAGTAAGCATGATTTGCGTTAATATTACTCCTACTCTTGATGTGACTTACGTTTTAGCTACTAATGCAGGCGGGGGTCCATATACCATGCCTGGTTGTCTATAAGAATTCTGAGGTCTATTTTGCGGTGGGCCGTAACCGCCAGGTTGCAATCCGGATTGCGGCCCAGGTTGTGATTCGGGTTGAAATCCGGGTTGAGTTCCATATTGAGGTCTGGGTTGTAGTCCAGGTTGTGGTCTGAACTGCGATCCGAGTTGCGGTCTGAAGTGTAGTTTGGGTTGTGGTCCAGGTTGGGTTTCGAGTCGCGGTCCGGGTTGTAATCCGTAGTTCTTTTGTTCTCCTTTACCTGTCTGTAGCCAATAATGGTTCTGCTGCTGTGTACCCTGTGGTCCGTATGAGAAGCCCTGTTGAAGCTCTCTACCATTACTCTGTCCATAATTCTGGCTGCCCCCGCTCTGGTTGTTATAGCCTGCACCACTTTGGCCGCCCGAATAACTCGCCTGTCCGTGGCCGTGTGAAGCTAAGAAGCTATGATGCTGAGCACTAGGGCCGTGAAAAGTTGAGGAGTGCGCGTAAGGAACTTCGTAACCATGAAAGATAGGATAATGTTCGTTACCCCCAGAAGACCCGTGGCCAGAATTGCTACGGATATACGGAGTCTTGTTGTATCCATGGCTGAAACTGTGTTCGTAATGATCATAATCCTTTTGCAGAGAGACAGACGAGTACTCGTGGCCTTGGCGTCCACCTTGGTGCCTATAACTATGATCGGAGGGGCTACCTACAAATTCTTGAAACAGAAAAATATTAATTTACCCAGTCATGAATGGATTTCTATATCACGTCGTGAAACCCATTTTCTAACGGTGATCAACCTGGCCCAACAGGCTTTGACTGTTTTGAGGGCAGACAAAGAAAGAAAAAGGGGATAGAACGGAGAAGGCTCGAAAATAGGACAAGAACAGGAAAGCTCTCGTAAATATAGCTGCATATCAACGGTGACGTTGTCAATATTTTAAATTATATTTTCGAGTGTGATCGATATATCCGGAATAGTCGATATATGTGACGACACTAATTAGTTACTTCTTATTGTTTGAGTTTAGTTTCGAGCAGAAATCGTTCGCGTATAACAAACAATCTGCTACAGCGTAGGGTGAAGTAAGAGTGCCGTAATTCCAAATCACTAATAAAATATGTCGTATTTGTTTAGCCTACTCGTCCCACACTTTTTTACAGAGATCGCATAATACGAAAAATCAAATCCTATTAAAATATAAACACGACTCGAGTGATTGGCCAATTGCATAAGCTAAAACCAGATACATGTTCAGTAAATTTATATGGATACAACAACCGATAATCCTTGTTACTTATTTTAGTGAGAAGTGTGACGAAGACATTATGGTTTATACCTAGATTGTAGTCACAGCTCTTATTTTGTTCTAGTGTGCCCTACTTTGCATTAAATAATAATAAATAAATATCTCATATATATATATATATATATATATATATATGCCATATTTATTAGATATTATTAACATACAATAAACATCGAATGCTTATTATTGTTGGCACAAAAGCTATTATTATTTATATTATTATTATATTATGAATCTTTATAATCATCGTATTAAAACTACTGTTTCATATTTCGTACATAAATTAACAGTGTGAAAATGATGATTTACTTTTTGAACTGATTTAAAAACAAGTGTATTATTTGTCTCATAGCTTACCCATATACTGGCCAGAATCACCGTCTATATGGGGCTTTTGGCTGCTAACGCTACCACCGTGCCCTCCATATAGACTTACGGGACCACTGTTGGGTCCTTGGCCTTGAGAATATCCGTTTCCAGATTGATCTTGATAGCCAGCCTGATGTCGTTGACCTTTTGGATACAGGTTTCCATGAGAGTACCTTATTGAAGGTCCATACATTTGGCCTCCGCCATAATGAAAGAATCCATAAAAGTGTCCTCCAGCCGGTTTCGTAGATACATAAGATTGACCTCCAGTCTGTTTCGCAGGTTCATAAGATTGTCCTCCACCCTGGTTTGAAGGTCTGGAAGGCTGTTCTCTACCGTGGGTTGAAAATTTATAAGAGTGTCCTCCAAACTGGTTTGAAGGTCCGTAGGACTGTTTTCCACCCTGGTTCGAAGGCCCATAAGAATATCCTCCAGTCTGGTTCGAAGGTCCGAAGAACTGTTCTCCTTCTGGGTTCGAAGGTCTGTAAGAGTGTCCTTCAACAGGTGTTAAAGATCCGTAAGATTGTCCTCCAGTCAGTTTTCCAGGTGAATAGGAGTAGCCTGTGCCTTGAGATTGCGCACCATGTGCTGCACCTGCATATCCGCCAGAAATAGTGTAGCCAGAACCAACTTCTTGACTGGGGGAGTGAACCCCTGCGTTGTAGGTTAGAGCTGCTTGGTGACCGGCGCCGGAAGATCGAACCGTATATGTCGGACTGCTTGGTCCATGTCCGCCATTCGAAGTAAGGCTATACGAGGATGAAGATGGTGAAGTCATATGTATTATTGCATGAGAAGCAGACGCTTGCGCTTGGCCATAACCTTGTTGGGGTGGCATGCTTCTATTGGGACCAGCTACGTACTGCCCAGAAGTTGCAATAACATAACTGGGTGTTGAAGGCCCTGCTGACACCTGATGTGGATAGGGAGCACGATTGCCGTAGCCGCCACTGGATGGGGCGGGAGCCGCGTATATTATTTGAAGTGCAGAAGCACCGTGAGAACTCCGAGGGGGTGAACCGCTATGCGAACCCTGGGAAGCAACTCCATCATGTGAACCTTGAGATCCAGAACCACCATAAGAGTTCTGGGGCGCGTCGCCGGCATACGAACCCTCTGCAGCAGATTCCATGTTTGAACCCTTGTTTATTGTTCGAAGGGTTGTTCCACCAACACTTCCATTGTTGTGAGAGGCAGAACCAGCGTACGAGGCTTGGCTTGTGGGCTCACTATGTGACCTCTGAGGCGCGGTGTTACCGTTTTTGCCGGATGTGATAGAAGAAATAGACAAAATTGACGATGATGGGCCATAACCTTGGAAATGCTGTTGTTGTGGTTGATAACCTCCATGTGGCGGGTCAGGACCTGAGGAACCGTAGTGGATCGAAAACTTACCACCAGGGTGCTGTGGAGGCCGAAAGCCGTTCGAAGGTTCGCCAGCACTGGAGGAACTTTGCGCAGAGTCGTAACCCGCGCGAGGTCCTTGACCATAGTTAGATAGTGGGCTGTGAACTATAGGGCCTGGCTTTTTACGATACGTGATCGGTACGGGGACTGTGCGGTAGATGGGCTGGGTTTTCAAGTTCAACACAGGATAGCCGGGACGTGTCTGAACTATGTAGTATGTTTGCGCGGGTCCTGCAAACCACAAAGCATAGCATTTTACCGGCGGGGGCCATTCTACCGTAAGCCTATTTTTCTCTTAACTTTTTCTTCTCTAAGCGATTTGTGTGCATTGCAATCGCCACTGGTTAGTATTATACGCATCTAACCTGGTGTTTTGAAGCGAACATAACCTCCGTTTTGAATTCTTCCTCCGAAGGTGCCAGCAACACGATATCCTTGACCACCGCTTTAAATGTGTCAAAAGTATTGCTAGGGTTATTACCACAGGCTATATGTCCATGTGCATCTGCACTGGCAACACCTTTGAGAAATATATTTAATAACAGTATATTAATCAATAGCATAGATGATTTATTAAAGAGGACTTACTTAATTTTTCTACAAACTATTGTATTTGAACTATGGCAAGAAATTCCAATTAACTTTAGTTTCAACTTTCATTAAGACGATGTGGCATCCGCTGAAAGTCAGCTCTAGTTTCCCCTGTTAATGTCTATACCTAATCTAGTGTCAATTTTGGTATGTCATAGGCTTAACAGGTTTTCTCTCAGCATACTGTGACACGTAGATTGTCTTTGGAAATGCTCTGCACTAGATCTAGATTAAGTCTAAACCCTAGTTCTTAAGAAAGTTATCTTTTTAATTTTCCTCTAAAACAGGTATATCAGCTTGCGATTTCACGTGTCGGAGGGAATCGGGAGGATCGGTAGGGAACGATCCTTCATAAGTGCATAACAAATTGCACGAACGAATGCATAAATGTGGAATCCATGCGAAGACTTCTATCCGATTATTCATTATAACTTCGTTCATTCTAATAAGGAGTAATAGGATAAAGCAACCATTATAAAGCCTGATTTAACTCAAATACAGATATTCTATTGATCAAAAAAGAAAAGACCTGCTATGGGGCATACGCGCACACACCGTACGAATTTCCTCTTGACACATTTGCAGGAAGACACGTGCCGATTGATAGGTATAGTTGAGTGCAGACCCGTTATACACCTACTATGATAAGGCTTAGGGGATGCGGAGTAAGGGACGCGTAATCATTCTATTCTATTCCTATCATCCTATTTCTATTCTATCATCTATTATTGTTTCATTTCATTTTGTGGACTCTAAGAATTCCTTTCCTTATTTTGTCCAGCTAGGCTCGACAACTGAAAAGGGCCGCGTATGTAACTGTCGAAATCTTACTGACCAGGCCATGTGCTCAATGCATGATTGAGTATTTAGTTCTATTTCTCAAACGCGGCTCAACCCCCTTATATATGTATATATATCTCCGGATACTTCCAATTAAGTGATTACTGGAAACATTTTATTTAAATAATTATACTAATCTTCGTGGATAGGGAAGAGTTGGGTTTCTGCAATAAGATTAATCATATATCCTAACCGAAATCGAAGGACTTATGTGAATACGTTACCGATATAATGAATCTTTTCATCAACGATAACGATCATCGTATCAAAGCAAAGGTTATATTAACTGATAATTAGATAACCATCTAATTGTCATATATATAATAATAAAATACGTGTCGTATAGTCGAATAAATGTGGCGCAGTGCCAAAACAACATCCGATGCATTAATCCGGCTGCTATTAGCTATTAACTATTTAGCAGGTTTCTCTCAGTCACTTTACTCGTGTTTTAACATCTCGGAAATAGGCGTGGTGAAGCGATGTGTTCAGTCCTCTCTGAGAGCGCAACAATATTTAAATAATTAAAATCTGTACACGCAAATTCCAGTGAGGGAACAGAATCGTGTAAAGCTATCTACGAAGATGGGGACGAGTAATTGCGAGCGTCATAACAGCTGCCCTTGAATTGACGCCAGTCATTTGTATTCAACAACAGTAACACAACAGGTCAACGTTGCATTCATCATACTCGGGGTACTGTTCCGGAAATTCGACTCAACCGCTCTGATCGGAAGTTAGCAGCTTTTGGTAGAGACTTTCGTGTCCGCTAACCAATTAATTATTTTTTAAGATAATGAATATTATTAGATATAATATTAGAGCAAGTATAAGTTGTATTGATCGAGTTCGAGGAGCAAGTTTGTATACGTATAAAAAAATTATTACCACAACTACAAGCGAATGTACTGTTGTAAATTCTGTTCTAAATATGAATGAGTACAGACCAGTGACTTAGCGCACTATTAGGCACTTTGGCGTAGATAGCTTTTTAAAAGCAACACACAAATGTATCTACTGATGAACAAGATAGATTTTACGAGTTAGTTAGCTTACGAGTTGCGACCTTCAGGATTACGATTTGGGCACGTGTCAAGCCAGGTAGCAAGTTCATCCGCGTAGTCACGGTCGTAGCCCATTAGCCAGACCTCTCTTAGATGGAGTTCAGGCAACTCTCCAGTTGTGTTGCGGAGACTAAAAAGGATCAGCTCATCTGGAACTGCGCAAAATTTGCGATTAAAAGTCTGCTTTGAAATCAATAAAACGTTTGAGAATCTTATATTTATTTAGGATTTATATAGGTAATATTATAAAATCTACTTACGGCGGCTGGTACCGTTAACTACAGGTTCAAGGTCAACCGAGCTGACGTGGAGATCTCCGAAATGATTGAAATCGCTGACCACATCGAAGGTTTCGTTATGATCTTTGGCCGAACGGCGCAGATAAAACACTAGAAGATCGTTTGGTCAGAATTAACTATAGAGTATGCACCATGATAGGCTCAACGATCGACCACAACCTAGCCATTGTAAAATATATTTTTCAGAAAGCTTTTCCATGAAAAGATGACTAAGATAATTCTCTAAAGAACAGCATATGTACATTGCTGTTCCTTTGACCTATCATCGATACTTGAGAGTTACGGCTGCCCTACTGCAAACCATCGAGATGACCCAAATGCCATTCAACTCCTCCGCATGCTATCATGCAAATAAAATTTACCTCATAGCATCTTCGCAAACTGCTTTCAGTACGTCGTAATACGTATACTGTAAACTACTATTTTTTATCTGATATTAAACAAGGGTAGTGGATAACTTTCAAATGCATACCATGAAAGCCGCAAATATGGTAAGGGGAGTTTCCGATAGGTTCCTGGAAATGCACCCGTGTTTCATCGGTCGCGTTTGTTACCAAAGTCGACTCCATATCGAAAGTCACCAGATCGTCTAAATTGACTGCGCCATTGATACTGACAACACTTTGGTCTAATACGAACAACACAACGACGATGACCTCGTTAAAACAAGCTTTTTAAATACGTATTGTAACCGTACCGCACACTATACTATGGTATTCAACATAATAGGTACGACGTAATAGAAAACGCATGGCATGCATGAGCGTTTCATTAAAATTTCGCACCTTAAAATCAATACAAACGACGCTCCAAAAAAACAGATTTTTTTTTGCAAAGAACTCTGTATTTATTTATGAATAGCAGTGATCCATGTGCTGTGTCAGAAAAGCCCCCTATGTGTAAACATGACAGCAAGCTTGTCCTGTTGGGTGTTGCTTCGGATTGTCGACCAATATACCTTGTTTATATATTGCTTGTTCTAGTAGCTTTTGAATGCTATTTACCTATCTGTTGCTAAGGCTCTTTCGACACCTAGAAAATCACTTAAAAAAAACCTAATTGATTACCCTAAATAAAAGTTAATAAACGGTAATAATTATTCACATGCAGAATAATACTGTTGGTTCTTTTTTTTTCTTTTTCGTTAAAAGGACCTGTTGGCTTTATATTCAACTGATTCCCTACAAATCTTAAGGATGAGGTAAAGCTTTAATCTACGGTATCGGCTTGAAAATTTGTGTGTGCGACCACTTGGTAGTCTTCTCATTTGGGTTAGAATATGATATAGAGAAAATAATGAAAACAGCTCGGTCATTCTGCTGCAGGTGTTTTTTTGAAAAAAAAGTTTAGCACCTCAAGTTAAAAGAATTCGAATTCTAAACTACTGATTAGCACCTTAGATTCTAGCGCCTATAGGTAATGTTGTTCCGCACGCATTATATGCGTGTTTTTTGACTGAACTTAGTTCAAAACACTGAATATATCTTTCGCTATGAATGATATTCATAGCTGGACAGAGTTCTGTCCAGTTATTCACTCAGAGATAAGAGCTAAAGTTATATGTTTCCACGTCGGGATCGTAATTAGGTTTCATAGGATAACTACACACGTCCTGTCAGCACAATATTATCTAGTAAGGCCTTATCAGTGCGGAATTAGAGCCGTTCCGGTTGCCTGAGACCACAGTGTAATATGACTGTACCATTATCAGTACAAGTGGAGTATTAGAGATGGTCGAAGAAGTCTTTACCAAACTAGTCTATTCGCTAGCTACTACATCGCACACACACACAGACACAGCCACAGCCACACCATGACTTGTCGAATAACCGAAACAGAACAGGAATATTCTATGGAAAACGTTAGTTCATCATATATACATATGCCGCCGCGCGGTCCTTATCACCAGTGGCTCTGTGGGCGTGGATAACCTGGCCGGCTAGTTTTAGTTGCACATTTGCACTGCAGGTTACATCCTCATCTTATTATGCATCGATATGGCTTTATGCTACGTATCCTTCATCCGTGTGCGCATATTCCTATATTTTAAACATCAATGAAATTGAATTGACGTCCTGTCTTAGTGTGAGTTCAGGACAAGAAAAGTGAAATGCTACAAACTAGTTTCAACTTATCAATGCCCGTTGGAATTACAACAGGCTTTGTTTGTTTAGTTTTTTACCAGTGCTTCGACAGCTCTGACTTGCTAAGCGGTCGAAACACGATGAACACCAACTGTGGACTTCACCGTAGTAAATCAGATCTGAAATCCTGTTATAGCTGCTAAAACGATTAATGTAGATAAATTACTCTACTACTAGTTAATGATCTCAGATGATAGTTCGCAATTTGCTCCCTCTAGTTTTAGTCTTTTTATTTGTTATGAGATGTAGCTAGTCCCTACCTGGTCAATCACAATGGTCAGCGCTGAACTGTTGGGTGACGCAGCTTTCATTTCTACGAGAACGTTTTTAGGAAAACATTTTTGTATATTGCGCAACAGGTGAATCACATACGCAGTAGCTTGAATGCAGGACGCGTATAAGGAAAGCAATAAAAGCGCCCATCATGCACCTATTATAAGGTGTATAACAACGACCAGCAGCACGAATACGTGCAATAGACGAGTATCTTATTCAATTAGCATATATATTGGCCTTACCATTCAGTAAAATTAAACCGCAATTGAGACAGACAAGAAGGTTTAAAGTGGGAAGTTTTCCCACGGAAATAGCATAAGACCAATTCCTGTTGCACTCAGCGTTTTCGTGTAGAGCATGCACTTTCTTTCATAAAATATTCGTGTGCTTATTTAGAGTCCTTCGTAGGTTGAAGCTTTATAATGTTTTCTAATGTTTGTTCTTTACGTACCATACCCCGTGATCCATTTGCCAACGTAATGATGTCGAAAGATAAAAGCCCGAAGGCCAAACCTATGTTGTCGATGTTATGCATTATATGGCAATGTATTAAATCATGCTGAATTATTTATGACAACTCAGTTACATCGTACCCATTCGGCCATCCTCGGTGATGTTTGCCAGGTCGAACATGTTACTGAAACATATAATAAAAACATGTGACACATGAACTAGTCACTGAACATCCTCCACGTATCAGCAACAAGCGGGATTATATTTCACTGACACCTCTACACGTACTGAATCACGCAAATCGCACTCTAAATCAGTTGTGGAAGTAAAGCACACATTGATTATTATGTCTGAACAAAATCTGCTTCTTCTTTCAAAACTGGAAAACAGACAGGTGGAGGCAAAAGAGTATTCTCTTTAGGGATTTGGACCTTTGTCGCCATAGTATTATACGCGGACGTACACATTTTGCGTCGCATCGATGTTGCTCTGAAAACCAAGAAGGGGCTTGAACGATTCGTCTCGACTCGATACGGACAACTCCGTATTGATATTTTTGCCACTATCATTTCCAGCGTATGCGAGATGAGAGCTAGACAGTCGATCGGGAACCTGCAGCGAGGCCAGTTGGCATATTATCAATACCATTGCCCCCAACAAATACAGCCTGGCCATTGTGGAAGAGAAATTGCAGGCCACTAGCTCACGCGAATCCAATTGTCGCTAGCATTACATGCAGCCACGTCAACCCGATAAACACTGTCAACCGTGGCAGCGTAGCTGTGTTAACAGTGATATCTAGGCGAGAGCGATTCTTCGAACATAGGAAATCTTTCCCTATGTATAACACGATCGCTTGAGATATGGCCCACGTTAGCGCTGCTGGACGTCCGGAAATCTGTTGATCCAGAGGTGAGTAGATTCAGGCAGTGGGAGAAAATTGACGAGCCGAGGCCGAGCACCAAGGTACGATAATTTTACCATATGCAACCAACGCTGCATATCGATTATAGCCACACGGTCTCGCGAGTCGCGAATCGAAAACCGACAATTATTCATCGCCGGAACTAAGGAATCTATTGGTCCTATGAACTGAAATGGTTGTCCTGCCAGCATAGTATAGCCAGGTGGTATGATTAATATGAGCAGCAGAAAAATGTAGAGAAGGAAATTATGTCCTTGACATTAGGTTGGCGATAGTCAATTTATATAGATATAGTACTAATATGCAGTTATTCTAAACCTGATTAAACTTTGGACTCTATTAATATGTAGATGTTTGTAGATAAGTTTGTTAACTATAGCGTAACGTAAATTGCCCTAGTATATAGTAATATAGACTGAATAAAAACAGCGTTTTTTTCTAAGATTGATATGCCTGTCATCAGTGTGGAGGTATGCACTACCAAATGTAATCACTGTACAGAAGAAAGGGAGGTTTTTTTTTATTAAAATAGGGTAACGTGCGCGCTGCTTTGAAGCAACCATCCTATAATCTACTAAGAACAATGAACTGCAAAGTGAATACATCGTAAAATAAGTCATATAGACATGATAAATGTAAGAAATTACCCACCTAGAGGGTGCTGTCCAATGGATACCAATGCAACCTGTCAAAAGGCCCCAGATATACGATTATTCGATTACTGCGGCTATTAAAGAGAACGGGTAGCTAGGATTCTTATTGAAAAATATGTTGTTTGAGAAAGAACCATTTATTCTGAGACTATCACAGCCGAAGATGCATGTATCCTCTTTTAATGCAAAACTCAGTAAAATCCAGCGCCTTCGTCAGCCTGATAGATTTCAATGTATTTACGTCGTTTGTATCTGCAGCGCCTGAGCTCTGCCATGGGCAGACTCGGTTACTATTTATTAATAGTAATTGTAATTTATTAATAGAGTACTGTATCGAAAAATATACTAACGCTTTCAACGTTAGTGGGAAATTACTGTCGATTTTCTTCGAACTTGTTAAAATTACAGACAGACCGTTAAACAAAGCATACATTCAAACAGAAGTTCAAGTAATTATAGAAAATACTAGACAAACTGATGTGTTTTCTATTATAACACATCGGGTAAACGCTGATACTAATATATCAATAAATTGACCTAGCTAAGACGAGATTTAAGAAGATTTAAGTGGTTGGGGTGTGGATTTTATTTAAACTAAACCTGCTACTTACGTAAGAGACGTTAATTACAATCTTGTAAATCATTCTTAAACATACGTAGGAAGAATAGCACGTTGCTAAAAAGATCTGCTCCAGCTAATATATGTGTACTTAATATTTTGTACGACCTCCTGTAATTAGCTGTCAGATACTTTTCTGTTCATAGGTAATACTTACATTTACACGAGATACTAATGATAAGCTATTGATGTTGTTGACGCTAACGTTAAGCCATCCACCAAGTAAAACTTACATAGATATTCCGATAGAATGTTTTTTATGCTATATTCAAAAGCCCCACATACTTTCGGACACTTAGTTTTTTAAGTAGTTGACCAGTTGATGCCCTTTTACATGGCGCAACTAATATTGTGGCTGTTTGCAACCCTTGCTAGTCGCATCCGATACAGTTTAATCCAAAAATTACCAAGTCTGGGAAGTTAATCATATCTAGATAATCAAATTATTTCGGAAGGGCTGCATGCAAGGGATTATAGTCTCATCTAGTATAAATCAAATAAATGCAAGCAAACCAATGTTTTGGTCAAATATAAGTAGAGCTGCAAACTCCCTCAAGGTCCATCTCAAGTACGTCCTCGTGAGTCACTCATTTATTAATGCTACAAGTATGTTTGTGTGTATGCATCGGTCAGTCTGTTGTATTCTTTGAAGAGCATAGGTTTAATTTTCAGGCGACGCCATCTGTTATAAGCTTGTAAGGGTTTAAAATATAATAATAATAGGTTGAATTAAGATACTCCTGTTATCATCGACGATACATTATCCAAATACTTTATATCGGAGATATCAGGGTGAGGGTCTGGATGAACTTATTTGCATATAACAATTGGTGAAATATTTTTTAACCTTCTTCGGCATTTTTTTAAATGTTTAACGCGTTTATTTTTATTGGTCTGTTCCCCTAAAATTGCCTACGTATTGTGCTTAGTGTGGCCTGACTATGCTAAGCTGTATATTTTGCTGATTAATGATATTTTTTTTATCCTTTCATCACGTTATTATTACCGCACTGACCGATTATCATGCAAATCTATGTATAGCCCTATTTTTATGATCACAAAATTTTTGTTAAGTTTAATTATGAACATTTTTAATTTCTGGAAAAGAATAATTCGCATCATTTTTGCTTGATATGCTTCTTTTCCAGAAATTAAAAATGTTCATAATTAAACTTAACAAAAATTTTGTGTTCATAAAAATAGAGCTATACATAGATTTGCATGATGATGCATTTGTAAAAACAAAAAGTACACACGTCAAGTAAATCACAATGTTCTCTGCTTTTTCTTTTTATTGTCGTTATCGATTAGTACGATATTTACTTTAGCTATCATTTACATAGATATAATATTAAAAAGTGGATCAAAACCACTAGCAGTCATCTCTTGTAGAGGTATCCCAGTACCTTGAAGCGTTTTTAGATACATTTTTATTCATTTTACGAACCTGTCCGCGAATATACAAGTCCCTGTATTGGTGTATTGACAGGATTATGTTTCGACTTCGATGCTAGCCATCTCCCAAGCACTCATGCTGTATTTTTGTATGTAAATTTGTGCATGGTATCCACTGACCGCAGCTGGATTCATAAATTCATCTGAGCTTTGCCGTGTATACCTCAGAGCGATTCTGCCTGTATGAAGACGCTTTTGGCTGGTAGCATTGAGATGTATTTATGTTGCCGTCATCCGCATCACGTGCTCATAGCCTGCGCAAAGGATGTACTGGAAAGAATCGTTGTCGCGAATGTCATTGAGAAGTTCACTTTGGATCAGATCATCGATCGGCGGCATAAATTCGTTGAGGTCGTAATTCTGTAAAAATGCCAATTCCACGATCTGGAAGAAGAGTAAATCACTGCAGACACAGAAAGATCATATTAATATGCTATCAAACATTGTATATATATATATATTGTAACAGCGTATGAATAATTATTGCAATTGTCAAGTTCTTTCGTAGTGGATAAAAAAAATGCTGATTTGAGTAAAGCCAAAAAATTCGTAATTGTTTCAAGTAAAACGTGGTTAATTTATAAACCTAGAAACAGGCTTAGAAGTCTTATGTACATATTAGTTGATAGCGTATCATTAACCACGTACGTGCTAAATCAATAGAAAAACTCTTTAGGATTAATTTCAGTTAGCAAACGTGACCAACAGTGCGCTAGCCATGTTTTTCAACATTAACGAACCGCATAATATCGGTGATATACGCTCCTTCAAGGCACTCCCATGTGTCTTGAAGAATGGCTCTAGCCCAAATATCTCTACGAAATTTGGGCCGTTCCTCTGCTGGCAAAAACGCTACCAAATCCAGAGCTGTAAATGGACAAATATATACGTTTAAATAGCACTTTACTCTCATTGCATAAACGAGTTTGGAAACCGTTCATAATCTCACAGCAATATGAGTGCTAAGGGATTGTGTACAATAAAGGTTTCTTGTGTATGTACAAATAGAATCTTAGACAACGCGATAAAAAGGTGGCCATCAATCAAGTAACCGAGAAATATTTGCAATATAAGCACATGAAACTGCAGCTAGTTCGCAAGAAAAATTACAGGCCGTCATCATACCAATCTTGTAGTCTTGTTCACGTTGTGAATTTGCTTCTGTAATGATTTTGATCATTTCGGCAGGTTCGAGCACGGGGCAGTTTGCTTTTGTGTATCCGTTTTTGGCGAGAATTTGTACCGACAGACTTTCTTGAAGGGCTACGAGATCAGCCATAGCATTGATCTCATCTAGTTCTTTCTCACCATCTTGCGGGTTGGCACAGGCAAGGGCTGACAGCTTGGCTAAGCTCACCTAATGGCCAATGACATGGGTCAATAATTATATTGCTTGTGTAGTGTATTAGCTCATTAAGACCGCGTAAGTGTATTTAGGTTGACTGAAGTTTTACATAAACTTTTTTTTAGTTTTTTAATTTCTGCAACTCGCTCACGACTAACTGGCTCCCTGTTTTAGTGTCATCAAACATGTAGCTGGTACGTTAATTCACAAACACGCAATCAACGCACGAGCATCTGTAATCAATTACCTGTATTTTTTTTCGCTTAAGAAGGGCTCGCTCTTTTTCAGCAAGATGCTTAAGGGATTGGCACGCTCGTCGAAAATCGCCGCTTTTTATACAGTGCATCCAATGAAGTGAGCCGTGCGCCTGAAGAAACCGACTGAGCTCCGTGTTGTAGGTACTCGGCTGTGACAGAAGTTTATCCTTTTTTCCTGTATCAACATAGTACTATACAGCGACACCAATCACAAAGAAAAAGGAATGTTATTTGCTAGAAAACATTTGTCTTTCCCCAGTTTAAACACCCTTCATCAATTTTCATCTATAAGGTTAAACTTTTTCATAATTTATCATCCACATATCGCTGTAATAGTTTCGACCATGCTGCAATAAACTAACCTGAAATACGAATTCAGCAAAATTCTCCTTGCTGAACATTTCCATGTAATTTAAGAGTTTACTTTGTTGATTGCTCTCCTCGCAAATTCGGACAAGAAGTGGAAATTCGAGAAATTCTTCGGCAAGACTCGTTGCCGTGTCCAATTGTCTACGACACAGACCCAAACAGAAAATTGCAAGCACGAAGTAAATCATAAAATGAACATATAGTCAGCTGCTATAAGAACATTCGTATCGTTAGCCATCATTACACCACGGTTGCACCAGTAATAATTCATATTTCAAAAAAAGCGTGCGATGAAAAGCACTGACTTGCTCTTGTAGAGTAATCCGATTAATTTCTGTCTATCAGCGGACATTTTTTGACGCGCCAATTCGACAGAACCTCTGGGGGCGGACACTTCAAGTGACTTGATATGCAGAACGTAGTCCTCTAAAACACACTACACAGATAAGACATATTTATGAGTACATATGCAATAGCACATAGAAAGGACTGCCAAACTACTGGTTGTCTATAAAATGAGACTATAAATGACAATGTATTTATAATACTTGATAACGCATTTTTTAATGAATGATTTTCGAGTGTCTATCTCAATTTGTATTGATGTACTATAACTGTTGTGAAGCATCAATTAAAAAAAATGAAAGGAGCTCACTACGCACACGACTGAGCTCGACCATCTGGCTAATGATCTGTCGTTTCGTATCGGCGCTAGTGAAACTGTGCTCCAATGCGTGCTCCTCCGAAAGTTCACACTGTCGGATAACAAAACTTCGAAGTCGACGCGATGTCCAAGGCAAGTACTCGCCAGCTTCGATCAATGATGGTTCCTGTGCCAATAACTTCTCACGAAGCTGAAATAAGCAAGTCAGAATAATCAAAATCTAGTTGGTCTAGTTGGGAGTTCAACCTTGTTTAGATAAAACAGTCTTAGCAAAACAAAAAAATCTATGCAATTCAATTATAATAACAAGTAGTTATTGTTGAAAGAATACTAAACGCGACGCACTACTCATACGCTTGCATTGGGTCCTTTCTATTTATATCGGTTCCGTTAACAAAATTCCTTGTTGAAAACCGTTCGATATGCTTCGCCGTGCTGCACACAACGATGTTCTCGTGACTTTAATAATAGTATCACTTATCTTACCGGTTTTATGCCTCTTAAAGCTCCGACGAAAAGTGCATTTGCATTAATGAGGTGTTCAATGAGACTAGCATCTTCTTCTTCGATGAACTCTTCCAAATAACTGAAATATTAATTATTAACTAATTTTGGTTATTGGAATATGAATGGTTTCGTAAATTTGAGGTGCTACTCGTTTAGTTATCAGTAGCCATTGTGAATCGGAGATGGCAAGCTAATATTACTTAACAATAACGATTTTTTCTTTACAAGCAATAATCATGCTAGTCATATAGGTCCCTGCCGATAGACATGTGTGAATCAAGCCGTTTCAAATATAGGTGATAAACCATCGTATTTAGCATTCCGTGACTCAACAAAAAAAAAATTTGAAGAAATTTTGTGAAAAAATCTCTCATGTGATTACTCATATATTCAGTTATCAAAGTGCTACTGTTCTTTCAAATAAAAAAATAGTATTCGATAGTTCCACTGTAGCCAGATTGTCTAACACGAGTACTAACCTCTGGACTTCGGGCAGGAGTTCATCGATTCGTGCTACTCTGACAAAACAAAGGTCACGTGACGAAAGACTTTTGGAAGGAGCCTGCTCGTTTCGCATAGCTGTTACACGCTTCGCCGCCACATCCAAAATACGCTGAGCCGAACGTACCCGCTAAAGAAAAGTTCAACAAATATACTGCAGTGGAAGAAAGTTCAACATTTCGATCCGTGTTGCTAATTATTGGTGCAACAAATTGTACAAAGCATATAGTCGTTTTACCATGCGAGAAACCTTAGAATGGAGAGAATATCCGTACCTCATATGCAGCATTAAGTCCCTCAGCCATAGCGAGCATTTCGCGATGTTCGTGAAGTGCCAAACGTGTGGGCAGCTCCATTCCGTCAACTGTCACCGTTCCAGATAGTTTCTTCCACACCTTATTCACCTAAAAATACAGAACAGTCCTTTTAAAACCATCAGTGATAAACACCAAATAATAAACGTAGGTATATTAAATCTCAGTAGTCGTTTTTTCTTTCACATGGCAAATCACGGCTTTTAAGATATTAATCTTCCGGTCTCGGAAGCCACAGTAAAAGCTTTTTGCATAAGACGATGCACTCAGAACTTTATGTTCACGCCTATTTCTTATGTTACCTCTATCTGTCAGCTAATTTAAGCTAATGAAAGATTAAAACAAGTCTAATAAATATTCAAGACATCTACTTTGTATACCTTGAGGAACTGAATCAGGATATCAAAAGCGTGCTCCTTGTCGGCAATTTGATTTTCAATTAGAGCCGACTTGCCCTTGCCACCCCTACGACCCCACCGAGGATCTCCTGCGGGGGGATCATCAAGTAGAGCGCGCGATAAATCGAAGAGAACTTCGTCCATGCCTTCCGCCGCATTACCTTCTACAAGGGTCGGGAAAACCTGCAATATTTTTACACAAAATAACGTGCAAACAAGCAGGACTAAATTTGTGGAGAAGTATACGCAATAACACCAAATTGTTCTCCTTCGTCCTTAAAAAGTAATAGTTTTTGGACCATTATAAAGTACTATTTTATAACTGGATAGTTTTCGCATGCGAACGTCATTTGAAAAAGTTAAACAACTAGACTAATGACTATGCCCTATGACTTAACAATTTATTATACAAATTAAGTGATTGAGTATAAATGTACACGTAGTGATACTAAACGAATTTACGAACAGTGGCATATCATGTTACCTTTTCGAGCAGCGTCTGGCTTTGAGTAAGTTCTCCTCGACTGTGGTGTACGAGCGCTCTTCTGAGCAAGCCTTCCGCGCTGTCTGGATCGCAATTAAGCTCTGCGGGATCGAGAAACCACTCGGCAATACGATCAGTGTCATCAGGTGGCAGAGTTTTCAGCGCCTGTCTGTGATAGAGACCGCACCAATAATGCATACATATCAAAGTCGTATTCACACAAGGTGAGCGGAGACGTGACAACCAACGTTTTGCGATAGAAACATCAAAATGGCTTTCTCGAGAAATTCATAATTACTGTAGCAGGATCTTTATTTGTATATGTGTAAGACAAATCAAGTAGCAAAGAAGAATGTTTTTTCTACCTCTCAGCAGATATCGGAAAACACTCGGGCAATTCACCATCATTGACTTTAGGTGCCCTCAAATACGCAGCTATGCAAACTGAGTACAGAATGACTTTATTTAACGTACCTGCCCGTTGTTTTTAGCAATGCAAGATGATTATTGAGCGTAAGAATCAGAGGCTGTCCATCTCGGGCGCCGCAGCCAAGTATCGCGTCGTTTGCCGGTAACCTAATCGTGTCCTGGTCACCCTCACCAAGGTCTATACACATAACCTTTGTGCGGGTATAAACAAATACCTAAACGAAGAAAAAACTTTGAATGAATAATGTTTGCTCTGTAAATTGCCAGCGAAAAAGTCTATGCAGTTCATTAGGCAACATCATTATAATGCTCGATACCAAACTCGAATGGTGTGACTGAGACTTCATACCAGACACAAATCAGGTAATACCCAGGACAAACTATTTCCATTACCAGCAAAACATTAAATACTTAACAGTATCTCTAAAACAAACATTTGGCTATAGCTAATAAATAATAAGTTTCAGAGAGAGTGCAGATTACTTATCCGCTTTAGCGTACATGAGGGGGCAAACTTACTTCTCGTGCATGTGGCAAAAGACATCTAGCAGCTAACAAGTGGTCAAGATTTGCGTCTGTCAAGACAGCTGTCTCAACGAGAGGCGTGAAGGTACGCAAATCCTGAGGGCAATCGGCATCGACTAAGGCCAATGCGTAATGAAGTGTTGAAGGCATGTGCGCCCCTACACCGGCCATCAGAAGCAGAACTTCCTCTTTGCATATCTGCCGAGTAATCGAAATGGAACATTAGAAAGGTGATAGTGGCGTAACATGCGCAGGTAGGCATTATATAGGCCTCAAACGGGCCTACATTGCATCCGACATATAATTAGATCAATTCACTTATTTTCAGTCGAAAGGAACAGTTATAGTAGTAGACGTTGAAGGATACAAGCATATTCAGTAATGACTAAAATGGATTCTAAATAGTTCATTGTGTATTATTTTACACATAGCTTATTTTTTTCAATTTTAGCGGAGGTGATAATCTTACCTGTGCGTCGATGCACCAACACTGTATGTCCTCTTCCGACAACGGCTCGTTGTTCCATATCTTCGTTCGAAATGCTTCCTTTACCAAGCTATTGAGATCAAAATCAAATCTGAAATCGCCGAGCCAACATATGGTCACTGTTATGAGCGCACAGATAAACAGGGTACGATCAAATCGAAGGGTAACCAGCATTCTCAAAAAACAAAAGCTGGGTAGACTCAATTCCATATGCGCTGGTTGAAAAAGCCATCGAGCCTCATGGAGTCATCAAGTAACGTTTTCTAGTGAGTCAGGAATTTGCGTTCTACCGGTATTGAAAATTAACTTCAAATCGGTTTACTTCCTCAAAAATAAACTGACCTGGGAGCTTCAGCTCCGTCTTCCCACCGACCCCAGCATTGAATAGCGTTCTCAAAGAGGATCAACACTTCGTCCACCGTAGGTCGTACCAGAAGCCGTCGTGCCAACCGGTGATTTGTATCTCCTGCAATTGGCATCGCCCCGAATAGAAGTGACGACATCCGTTTTCCTAATTCCGACAAGACGCCTTGATGAATCTTAACCTGTTCGCGAAATCACCCATTTAATCGAAAAAAGAATCTAAACGGTTAAGATTTTAGGAAATTAAGATCAGTGAAAACATAATTAGGAAAAAGACCGCCATCTCATTTATTCTGGGCCACGGCTGCGCGTCACTCTTGCAACTAAATAAAGTTTACCTTTCGTGTATCGAGGGTGGCATTCGCTTGTCGGCCGCCAAGAACGGCAACTTTGATTAGACTTCCTGTTGTTGTAGCAACAACGAAATTGTATTCACCAAGGTGAACCAGTTGGAAACACTCTTCACCACCCATATCGACGGATGTCTCTGTAAAGACAGCTTCATGTGAGATATTTGGCCAGTATCTGAAATGAATAATGATATTGTTAGACTTTTACATTCGAATATTCATCGAAATGTTAGATACATATAAACTAAATTTAAAGTAATATCATTTGCTATTCCCAAGCTAGATGATGGAGAAGCTGATTAAAGGAGACACAGTCTCTGATGCGACTCCGGCTTGACCAGTCGGTAGCGGACACCTCCCCATTAATGAGCCTGCAACATTCCTAATTTATAAAGATTTTGGCTATTATGAAGGGAAGAAAATACTACCAAGAAATGGTGATATCAAAATATCACGCATTTACCTGACGACGCCCATGGGGCTGACAACGATACAGTTGGGCGCTGGTGAAGTCTCTCCGACGTAACACAAATTGGCCTGATGGAGCAGGAACGAATTGGGCAGCTCGAGCGAAAAGCACGTCTTTGACGAACGTTGCTGACTATGTTGAAAGACCAAGAGACGTGAACGTACTACCAGCCATCCCCACAATTGCGTTAGCACAACCGGCCATCCAGTGCTCGGCGTTGTCTGTAGCGATAGAAGCGACTCGACAACGTGAACCGGTAGAGAACTGCCGGAGGTCTCCAGAATGTGTAAAGGTGTTTCGCCGAGTAACGATGTCTGAAGAGCCGATGCATTTAACGAATTGCCGCCTACCACTAAAGGACCAATCATTGAATAGGAATACATGTTCATATCTGGTAAACTAGAGCATCAAAATCAAGGTCCAACGCTTAGTCTTGTTACGTTTTTCAGAATTTCCCAGCCCTTTGCTTAGCCGATTTGCATGGTATAACATGCAGAACGTGTTATAAGCTGACAATATTGTTTTGTTAGTACTATTCGCACTTGAACAGGCACTAGTAGACAGCACAACAGAAACAGCATTTGCGATTGATTATTATTACCTATAGATGCCTTGGCCCGCTGGGGCGTCCTCGGCTGTACAGCGCTGTATCGAGTTCTCTTGGAATCCCGAAGGCCGTCACCTTTGCGGCTCTCTTGTTCTTGTAGCAGGTGTGCTGCAAACGGTGGCAACATGTCTTTGTTCCATACACCGGACAATATCATTTCGGAGCAGACTCATGCCCACAATTGTACAACGGAGGAAGAAACAAAAGAAGGCTTATAGGTGAAGCATAGATGGCTTAAAAGGTAGCCCTCCAGCTAGGAAAAGGTGAGGTTAGTTTTGGAAAATAAAACGTTGCCAAATATTTCAATGCAAAGAAAGGTCTTCAAACGATAATTCTTAGAGTGCGTTAACTATTTTGGAGTGAATATGACTTACATCACAATGCAACATCGAAAGACAATTTGGAAAATAGGAATAGACGCAGGAGTCACACGACATAGAATGCATGAAAACACGCGAAACACTGTCACCCGAATAACATATTAGAAGATGTTAATCTTCATTATTTTTTGTCAGTTTATGCTTGCAAAGATCATGCATTTTTTGACAGTTTTTTTTTTTGCTCCGTTTTGGCTAATGCCGGTGAAGTTATACCTCTTAGAATACTTGGAAAACGTGCAGGCCGCGATCGTCAAACTAGTCAAACCTTTTTCTAGTATGTCGTGAAAGGCATAATTTTTGCAGATACGTGTGAAAAGATTAATATCAACAAAAAGCCATAGCTTTATCTGTTTCTGAGCGTTGCGATCGAATTACAGAAGAATGTAATTAGTAAAAACGGATAGCTTCTAAATGACTAGGTAGTCTGTTCTGAGATGTGGCCAATCTAAAATAGTAGACGTGTTTACTAATAATTATTATCAGTAGCGTGTCTTTGTTAAATATAACAACCAGCACGCTTATTTCCGCCTCAGCCTCAAAGTCACGAGTTTTCTTTTTTTTCCAAAGTTGGCATTTTTTTGTTCTTTCCTTCTATATGTTATAATTCTTTGGCCATAATATACCAGCGTATAATGAAGTCTGGATCGAGGGGGACTGTTTTAACACTTATAAGTGTTAGATATATATATCTAATTTGGATCAAGCCGCAGGACAAAGATACTATATAACACGTTTTTCTTCTATTTTGGATGAATTAGAAACAAATAAGGAGATCATGTGAAGTCATCCGAGAGATGAAAACAAGACAAAATCACTTGAGAAAAATTTCGCTCGCTTTACGACCAAACTGTAAAATCAAGAACAAACTGGCTAACTAATTTCTGTCAATTAAACATCCGCAAAGTTACTTTTCACTGAAACTGCTCTCTCAATTGTGTAAAAAAAATAAGTGAGGATAATTCTTGAATACGTTAAATTCAAGCAAATGTCACACTTCTTCTGGGAAGAATGAAAAAGAAAGAACGTTTTCGATATTCTATTTTTTAGTTCCTTTCTCGAGAGTCACGTCATCCAAAAGGCAATACATCTATAGACAGAAATGTCAAACTAAAACGTATGCAAAACATACATATAAAACGCATTTTCCTTGACGAGTACTGCTCCAAATTTCTTTATGTAATCGACAAAAATTCAACGGAGCAACGCATTGATGTTTAGCTTCACCTTTGGAAACGTTTCAATGATACAGTATTGGACCATCAAACTAGTTAGGAAAACCTGATATTGGAAAGCTGTGTACTTACCACCAGGAGTCAATTGCGATGTGTTGAGACCAGCGCCAGGGGACTTCAGAAGCGTATAGCGACGTTTTCGTCCACTTGGCGTTCTCGGGGAGCCAAACATTTTTGGAGATCAGGTCACAAGCAGCAAATAGATACGGGAGCGGCTTCGCAACTGTATGTTGAGCATGTATGTTAATTATATTCCATAAGGATCAAATGTGACTCTTATGAGGCGACAGAGTGGCGGTTTCCAACAATAAAGAAGGGGAATGTTTACCGTCTAAAAATCTGGTAATATTTTTCAATCATACACACTCTAATACGTTATCTTTACGCTTGATTTATAAAATGGAAAATTATAAAGACGAAAAACTTAAACCAAATAATACGATTATGGATAAATTTAGAAGATACAACACGAACAACAATGAAACTCCAATAACACTATTTCTTCATAAACACTGTATCAGTAAAGGGAAGCTAAAAAAACGAGCAGGCATTTTACTACAAAAAGTCGTCGTTTCTAGGTACTAACAGAAAGTATGATGATGACATAACAAATATCGACCAAAATCATTACATACTCGTAAAGAACAATCGTTATCAACTATTTTCGAAACGTTTCAGAGCTTCCCGGAGCACACCGGCGCGCATATGCAGACGACGCTGATTCTTATTTATTGACTAACTCTTGCACGGATGAACTTTCGCCTACCAGAGTTCAAAAAATGCGCGCGCAAATTTTTCTGTCCTTCCCGACCGAATTAGATCTTATATGTGACCCGAAGCTTAATATTTTAATGAAAGCTGCCAAAACGAACGTATTAGCAAGCAGATTCTATCGATTATCTTGCTAACACGGATAGTTGCCTTGTGGCGTAATTACGGAGCATACCGAAGCGGGTCTTCATTACAAAAACTTCCCTTGCCCAAAAGACTTGTTTAGGTAAACCTTGATTATGAATAGTTGTATAATACTGTGAGCCAAAAACATATTACATGTTTGTGTGTTTCAGTGACGTAGACAGCCTAAACATGATCGACGGATTGTTCATAAAGATGTACTGAATTTGACAACGTAAATATGTACACAGGAGCACGCGCCATATGCGAAAATACCACTATGCATTGGAAAAATGTGGGTTGCAGCGCACAAAAAGCTGAGGTGTAATCTTTGCAGGTAAAAGGCGCTTCCGTTTCCTACACAGAACTCACGTTTTTTGGAACGACTAGGGAAAGACCATAAAATAAGCAGTTACGTGCGTTTAGGTCCGCAAGGGCATTTGATTTTCAAACCTGTTAGGAGTCCACGGCGTCCTACCGTCTCGTATTTCAATGAGCAGACGCTGAAACCTGCTGGGCTAATAAGGCCTGCCAAAAAATTGGTCCGAGAGATGAGAACAAGACAAAATCACTTCAGAAAAATTCCGCTCGCTTCACGACGAAACTGTAAAATCAGGAACAAACTGGCTAACATCTCTCGATATCATCGTCTGATATCTTAATTAGCACGCACGTCGAACGCGGCTTTCTGGGTAGATCAAGTTTTTCAGGAGTGGGGCTCCGTTTGACGTTGGAGTTCAGAGAAAGTTAAATCGGATAAATATAGGAGTATGGCTCTACCTGAGACATCGCCCTTCGCAAACACCCTGGTCACATGACAGGAGGGAGCGGGTGAATTAGCGATGTGTTCTCGAGCGGTGCGCCGACAATTGTCAATAATATTCAATTTGTAAATTAATTAAATATAAATTAGGTAGCATAAATAGTAACCATTTATGGAGGTAATAACATCAGTCTGTGGTATAATGGAATTTCGACGACTGGCTGGGCCATGTTATAATAAGACTTAATCGTACATTAGCATGATTTAACCAAGCCCTCGTTGTATGGAATAAGCGCCATAATTCTCGAAAGCTACCCTAGCTTAAAAGATAACGCCTTTCACTCTCCACAGGACACGCATAGCCTCCTTTTCCTTACTCGTAACCAAAGTCAACGTCTCGATCAGCATAACTAGGAACCACTGCAGTTATCCGTCGATTTGGAAGGTCGTCGAACAGGTTTTTCACTCGTTACGCATCGTGAAGTTACGCATCGAAGTGAACCACTAGGTAAATTCTTTGAACAAAAAACCTAAACAATTAAACAAACTGACCAGTATTAGTATCTGACGTATTCTATCCGAATGTGTCCGTTTACATTGTGGGCAATACAACCCACTCTCGCTTTTCTGCATTAGTGGTTGCGCTTTAGACAGCAAAAACCCATCCGCCCCCCAACGTATTCACTCGGTTATCTCTTTTTAGATTCAGACTTTTTTCATCTGTAGTAGGCGTAAAGCTAGCTATACGATATTTAAGCATGTTTGGCTGACATATACAGTAATTATTCTTTTAGCCACCGATGTCTAGGTTAAAATGTCTTTCAAGTATGGCAGGTAGGTTATCAGGTTGATTTGCTCAAATACGTTTTTGTACGAACCTGCTCACAGTATGCGCATCACCTAGGTCTAGTTATTAAGCTGTTTATTTCGTTAATAGACTGAAAGAAAATATTCAAGCTTTTCAACCCCAAATTTATTATTTTTAACTATTTGAAAGTTATTGAAATGGGTCTCGGCGACTTGAATGACAGCTGTTGTAATAATAAACTGTTTTGATTCAGAGAATAGACTGTTTATTACAGAAGTAGTTTACTGGTGAAAACATGGAAAGGTCGGCGTAAATGTGTGAACGTTGGCGTATTATATCAATTCACCAAGCCTGAATAACTTATTTCATTTTTCGAGAAAAACTGAAAGGGCAAGGTAATCGATCACGTAAGTTAACGCATTACTATTAAGGGTGTAACGTATTTTCCGTGGTTGGTTAAACTGGAACTCTAGCCCGGCACGGGAAATGTATATATATATATATATCACCAGTTCTGAATAATCTATTAGAAAATTGATTGAATGGTGTTGTCTATTTTACTATTGTACAGCTGGCCATAGCAATGCAATACAAAGTGCGCCTCAACGCTTCTTCCGAACTTTGGATTCTCCTTAAACATCCTGCACCAAAATCATTTGTACAGGATTGTTCTAAACAACCAATATAAATCTGGGAACAGGTGGATCCAGTCGGCTGTAAAATAGAAACATTTGCGCTGAGCTAATTATCATCCCTCCCCGGTACACTGTGCACACTGGTAAAATTCAGCCGTCAACCCCTATAAAATTCATATACATAACCAGATCAAACATTGCATGGAAGATAGCAAAGAAAAGAAGTAGAACATTTCGCATGCTTAAAGCTTCCATCTGCACGAGTAATTCGCCTTAAACAGTTACCTGATTTGTTAAACAGTCAGCTACAGGCGTTAGGTCTACAGACTGAAACTAAAACATATCTACCAAAAAGAATGAATGTAGGCAGGTTTCCCTGAGTTAAGATTTTCGCCAAAAAAAAAACTGTAAATTCCACTTGATACGTTTCTTAATTCAGATTGAGAAAGAGATATATAAAGTAGAAGTACATGACTTGCCCTGGTGACGCCTGATCAATCGGATGTGAGCTTACAAAAGTTCGATCTGTGCGTATAGTACTCCCCGTGCAAACAACCCTTCCATCTGTGGCAGCATTCATGTAATCCAATTATATTGATGCTATAGGTCACTGCTAAAGATTTTTAGCTTAAATGATTTTTAGCTTAAATGAAAAAGATCAATCATACGCAGGGTTGCCCGAAAAAGAGTTGAAATCTCTATTCGGGGGTAAGCGGTACACGCAAACCTGTTTGAACGTCACAGGTGGTTTTTAGAAAAGTGTTTACTTGTTCAGTACGTTTTAATATAGTAAAACCGTTAGAACTCTAATCAATATTAGTGATAATATGGTTGATTACTCTAAACTGACAGGGACCGTTGTGTAGCCAAAGTTGCCTGCCTTAACATTTACCAACCACTCGCCATTTTCCCATTACCCATACATTTGGAGTTGTAAATGTCACGCAATTATTCCAGTGTCATCCATTCACCTTCGCCGCATATTTTTCTTGTGTCTAGCAAAGAATAAAGACAGAGCTTTTAGCTATTAAGCCAAGATATCAATATTTATTTAATAATATATTTATTTAAAACTTATCTGCACTGTGTGAGAAACTTGCTCATTTTAAAGGTACTGATGAAAGGTTCCAGCTCTTGCCAGAAAAGTAAAACCTGTACACGCATAACGATGCTATAATATTATAACGCCCTCATGTACATTCTTCTGCCTTTATCCGTTCACAATTTCCGTTATTTAGAAACTACACTCCTTACATGTACTGCCTAATATCTCGTTCATATTTATTAGTACCATTATCTATAGTGTATGATGCCATCGGTCAAACTGGCTCTTCCTGCGCCACGGGGGCCGACCTCCACTATTAATCGTACCGTAGCCGTTTATCGCAGACTACTATCCCCTGCGAACAGGTACACCGTTCCAGCTTAGCCAGCTTATAACTAGCATAAATCCATTGTTCCGTACAGTACAATATATCTCTTCAGAGATAACATACGAGCCGACAGCAGCCTCTAAACATTACCAACTGCCTGCGTATGATCATCAGCTTCACTGTAGGCTGTATGCTTTGTGGTGACTGGCGCAAGCCATCATTACCTTGCCATTATCTTGTCACCTCCACCTCAACCCACGCCCATCGTTGATTAAAGAAAAGAGAGCTTGCGAACCTCGTACTTCTATATGCGCATACATTTTTGTGCGTCTATACCTATATGAGGGGGCGCAACAGAATGTATGCCTTACCTCTGTGCATGCCGATGATCCGCGAGATACGCCTACGTTCTTATTTAACTCTCTGTCTTCTCTGTTGGAATGAAGCAAAGAGGCGTTCATTCGTCGTACTCTACTAGTGACTATACGCGGCTATACAGTATAGTGAGAGATTCGCTAGTTCCCGACTCTCTTATTTGGGGTTGCACGCCCCTAAGTTACGAGTGGAGGATTCTACGCTAGATGCATCTCACATCAGCCTGTATTGGCAGGCATCGCGTCAGCCGTTGGGTGCCATTGGCAACCGTCATCATGGGACAGACAAGGCGAGAGAGCTGGAGGTGTGCACCACCGCTTCGGGGGGCAGGAATAGAAACAGAAGTGATTAGGCCGTTCTATTTACCTGCGCTAATTGCCATACCAGCAACTTCGAAACATCTAAGTTCTTACATGTAATAGCCAAGTGCTTACCCGACTGTTCGGCAGCTTCGTCGATGTCGTCGCTTTTCTTCCGTCGCATCAGCGGGCACCCTTTCCTACTTCCCTCTATATCTCTTTCAGCCCCGTTCACGCGTCGGCGAAAGTCTGGATGTAGTGAAATGAACGAGCGCAATACATATGAGTTATGAGGGACCAATTGGCTGGGTGCACACGGCCGACAATGGAAGTTAGAAACACAATCAAATAGCAAGCAAACTGGACCCTCTAGCAGACGACAGTCGACACCGGCTCCAACCAAGAAGAAGCTAGATGGGGAATTGAGCGCAGAAGGTTCTATGTAGGTGCTTTTCTATAATAGTTCCATGTATTTCGCTTGTGGTGATACGGTCACCACAGCCAGTTTACGGTTAACAGCGATGGTCCTTAGCTGCACGAGAGTTGAACCGAACGAACCTCCGTTCCCCAGCCGTT